TAGTGTTGCCTCACCACTCAAATTTCCCAAGATCCAACATAGCACAATATACATATTTACAAGTATTCACAAATATAGCAAGTAATCAAACAAGATAGGTTAAACCCTCAAAGTAAGAAAACTGCAACCTCCCCAGTGAAGTCGCCATTTCTGTTGCGGTAAAAATCGGATATCAAGCTATTAAGTTAACTTGAATCTTAATTCTTTTACAACCGAACTTTAATTTATCCAAAGGAAAGGTCTAAAGAAAGAAAAACTCTTTTCGCGATATAAAAACAACGCTAAGACATTTGGGGATCGGGGGTTGATTATACCTAGGGAAGGTGTTAGCACCCTAAGCATCTGTAGTACTCTACAGGAACCTTTTGTTTGATTGTTTGCTAAGTTTGTTAAATGTGCTAAGATTTGGGATTAGGATAAGGGATAGTTAAAGACCTAGATGGTTTTCTAAGTTTGCTCGCAAAGACATCGCATCTTCTGCCTACGTATCCTAACTAGGATAGAATCAGAGCAATCGTAGTTCACCTCACAAGGGATGAAGAACACTTGATTATGATCAAGGTTCAAGGGGGGAACAAACATGACAATGTTTGTGTGGATTTTAACAAAACTCCCTAATCTAAGTTGAACACTCAAGAAGGGGAAGTAAGAATTCATGACGATGATTCTTACATAGAGTTGACAAACTCTATCCTAGGGTTCTAGTTGAAGAACACTCCTAGTAAAGGTGGGTTTATTAGAATTAAAGCAAAGTCTAATGTATTCTAAACTAAGGTTAAAGATGACTTAACAAAGTCACAGAGAGATAAATGAGCTTTCCATGACACAAGGGTCAATGGAGATACTTTTCCTTTGGAAGGAGAGAGGGGAGGCAACTTGGATGAGAGCTAACAAGCTTCATCACTTGGGGAAAGAAAATATTAACATAGTAATAACATGATGAAGATAAAAGCATGGTTACAACCATTAAATGAACAGGTTAAAGATTAACACAAGATATGCATTGATGACAATCAAAGCAACTGATCAAGCAGGAAATGTGACGACAGATCGAGCTCAAGTACATTCCTCAGAGGGAACAAAATAAACATGGTAACAACCTAAAGATAAAATACTAGCATGTTGACTAACATCTAAGGATATGAGGGCAAGCAAATATCATGACATTCACAAATATAACAAGAGAGAAATTCATATGTACAGGCGAAAACGATTACAAAATGCACTTAACTTGCAAGTAGTCAAAAAGGATGAAAAATTAGGCAAACATGGAATTTTAAAATATGACATGAAAGTAGACATAAAAACAAACACAATGCAAAAAGAATGGGTGCAAAATGATTAAAAAAAATGAGTGAGATGTGATTTTTTGAAGTTTGGATGAAAAATGGTAAAAAAAAAAACAAAAGGGTTGCCCTCCTCAGGGGTCGAACCCAGGTTCACATGGTCATAAGCACTTTTGGTGACAAGTTGGTTACCACTGGGGTGGCTGTACATCCATTGATAAAGCCAGCCCCATAAATATATAAGGGATACATTCATGGCAGGCTGGGCAAGTCAAAACACACAAAACTTGGATTTTGCATTTCATATCATAACTCAGTCAATTCTTCATGGATTCAAACAAAATTTTAGTGTAAATTGTATGGAATTTCATGAGGAACAAGATGATAATATTAGTTTTCCAAGAACATGCTTCAATTTAAAAACCCGATAGTACATGCTTTAGAGATATTTGGAATGCATTTTGAATCTCAAAACCTGTTCTAACTACTTTCAATTCAGACCAATATTACTCACAGACCATGTATATGATAATGAATGATTCAAAACACAAAAGAGAGTTCAAATCATACTGTGATGAAAAAATGGTTGTCAAGTTGCAAAATTGTGTTGTGAAATGCATGATGATGTGAAGATCCTATTCATAACAGTTTTAAATCAAAACAAACATACACACACATTACAAAGATGTTATTGAGTGAGTGTAAGCCTAAGCTATAGTTAAAATCAAGTTGGGGTGAAGAATGCTATGCAAGTTTCAATTTTGACATGAATGAAATGCATTATGATGCAGGATGAAGTGCAGTTTAATTTTTGTGCACATATTGATCAAGCTAATCACATACACACATTAAATACATGTTATTGGATGAATTTGAACACAAGATGAGGCTCAAAACAGACTGGTGTGAAAAATGGTGTTTCAAAGTGCAGGCTTGTGTTTGTGATGTGCATGAAGATACTCAGTTTCAGTTTTATGCCCATACAAGTCAAATAGATCATACATATACCATACATACATGTCATTGAGTGAATTCAAACATAATTTGAGGCCAGAAACAAATTGTCATGAGGAGTGGCATTCAATTTGTAAAAATGGTAAGTTTGATGCAACAAAGAAGGCAATTCAGTTTTGAAACATATTTACATCCAGTTAATCATACACACACATTTCACATATGGAAATAGATGTGTTCATGCTCAAGAGTCAACTCAAAACAAACTGTGGTGAAAAATGGTATTCATGTTACAACTTGGTATTTGATGGAAGGCATGAAAAGCATCTGTAGTACTCTACAGGAACCTTTTGTTTGATTGTTTGCTAAGTTTGTTAAATGTGCTAAGATTTGGGATTAGGATAAGGGATAGTTAAAGACCTAGATGGTTTTCTAAGTTTGCTCGCAAAGACATCACATCTTCTGCCTACGTATCCTAACTAGGATAGAATCAGAGCAATCGTAGTTCACCTCACAAGGGATGAAGAACACTTGATTATGATTAAGGTTCAAGGGGGGAACAAACATGACAATGTTTGTGTGGAGTTTAACAAAACTCCCTAATCTAAGTTGAACACTCAAGAAGGGGAAGTAAGAATTCAGGACGATGATTCTTACATAAAGTTGACAAACTCTATCCTAGGGTTCTAGTTGAAGAACACTCCTAGTAAAGGTGGGTTTCTTAGAATTAAAGCAAAGTCTAATGTATTCTAAACTAAGGTTAAAGATGACTTAACAAAGTCACGGAAAGATAAATGAGCTTTCCATGACACAAGGGTCAATGGAGAGACTTTTCCTTTGGAAGGAGAGAGGGGAGGCAACTTGGATGAGAGATAACAAGCTTCATCACTTGGGGAAAGAAAACATTAACATAGTAATAACATGATGAAGATAAAATCATGGTTACAACCATTAAATGAACAGGTTAAAGATTAACACAAGATATGCATTGATGACAATCAAAGCAATTGATCAAGCAGGAAATGTGACGACAGATCGAGCTCAAGTACATTCCTCAGAGGGGACAAAATAAACATGGTAACAACCTAAAGATAAAATACTAGCATGTTGACTAACATCTAAGGATATGAGGGCAAGCAAATATCATGACATTCACAAATATAACAAGAGAGAAATTCATATGTATAGGCGAAAACGATTACAAAATGCACTTAACTTGCAAGTAGTCAAAAAGGATGAAAAATTAGGCAAACATGGAATTTTAAAATATGACATGAAAGTAGACATAAAAACAAACACAATGCAAAAAGAATGGGTGCAAAATGATAAAAAAAAATGAGTGAGATGTGATTTTTTGAAGTTTGGATGAAAAATGGTAAAAAATAACAAAAGGGTTGCCCTCCTCAGGGGTCGAACCCAGGTTCACATGGTCATAAGCGCTTTTGGTGACAAGTTGGTTACCACTGGGGTGGCTGTACATCCATTGATAAAGCCACCCCCATAAATATATAAGGGATACATTCATGGCAGGCTGGGCAAGTCAAAACACACAAAACTTGGATTTTGCATTTCATATCATAACTCAGTCAATTCTTCATGGATTCAAACAAAATTTTAGTGTAAATTGTATGGAATTTCATGAGGAACAAGATGATAATATTAGTTTTCCAAGAACATGCTTCAATTTAAAAACCCGATAGTACATGCTTTAGAGATGTTTGGAATGCATTTTGAATCTCAAAACCTGTTCTAACTACTTTCAATTCAGACCAATATTACTCACAGACCATGTATATGATACTTAATGATTCAAAACACAAAAGAGAGTTCAAATCATACTGTGATGAAAAAATGGTTGTCAAGTTGCAAAATTGTGTTGTGAAATGCATGATGATGTGAAGATCCTATTCATAACAGTTTTAAATCAAAACAAACATACACACACATTACAAAGATGTTATTGAGTGAGTGTAAGCCTAAGTTGTAGTTAAAATCAAGCTGTGGTGAAGAATGCTATGCAAGTTGCAATTTTGACATGAATGAAATGCATTATGATGCAGGATGAAGTGCTGTTTAATTTTTGTGCACATATTGATCAAGCTAATCACATACACACATTAAATACATGTTATTGGATGAATTTGAACACAAGATGAGGCTCAAAACAGACTGGTGTGAAAAATGGTGTTTCAAAGTGCAGGCTTGTGTTTGTGATGTGCATGAAGATACTCAGTTTCAGTTTTATGCCCATACAAGTCAAATAGATCATACATACACCATACATACATGTCATTGAGTGAATTCAAACATAATTTGAGGCCAGAAACAAACTGTCATGAGGAGTGGCATTCAATTTGTAAAAATGGTAAGTTTGATGCAACAAAGAAGGCAATTCAGTTTTGAAACATATTTACATCCAGTTAATCATACACACACATTTCACATATGGAAATAGATGTGTTCATGCTCAAGAGTCAACTCAAAACAAACTGTGGTGAAAATGGTATTCATGTTACAACTTGGTATTTGATGGAAGGCATGAAAAGTTCAAATCCAGGTCAATTAGAGTTCATGTAAATCACATATATGATTTGTTCGAGTTATGTTTGCCTGAAAATAAAACAATATGAGGCAACAGTATAGATGTGATGGATCATGCATAGATCAGCGGTTTGAAGAAATGCACAGCTTACTTGTGATAGTGCAGCAGCAACAAAGTCGTCAACTCTATCTTGCACGTTGTAATCGAACAAATCCATGTTATCCTTCATCGGGATCATCATTAACTTCAAAGTAAAATCCAGAAGGAGGCTCATAGTTCTTAGGGAATGCACCGGCAAAGATCTGGAGGAACACAAAGGCAACAAAACAAGCGCACACGAGAAATTAAAAGAAGCGTGTAGTTTACGAGACACCAATCATGATGAAAAACGAACGGAATCATACAAATCTTATGAGAGGGAAACAATAATTATTATTGATAGTCACCTGAGCAGAAGAGCCAAGGCTCTTGCTACCCTGCCAGATAACCTCGAGACTCTTCTCTTTTTTGCGTTTAGTTCTATCCTGATAATCTATCCTACCAAAGAAAAGTGAATCAAAACCAACCTGCATCCACAATATAAAAATGTCCTTGAATGGTTATTGCTTTTTCAGGATATGTTAAGCAAAAGACTCTATGGTTTGAAAGTTTATGGCATACTTCAGCTCCCAATAAGTAAGCCTGCACAGCCGAATGGCCAAAGGGATCAATTTGCCAACCGATTCTAGGAGTCACGCCAAACTCCTCTTTCAGAAATCGGTGTCCAAGTGTAGTCTGATCAATCATGTCTATGTAATGAGGTACTGCCTCATCGTGCATACATATGCCCCCATTTCTGTAACATCGAAAAAAAATGAAAGAAATAACATTAGAATACAAAATGATGAGAGACAGTAAATCATACTATTTGAAACCCTCATAAACACGAATAATGAATTTGTTCTCATCATGATGAAATATTTTCCGGAAATGTGATTTACATGAACTCTAATTGACCCGAATACCAAGTTGTAACATGAATACCAAGTTGTAACATGAATAACATCAAGAATCATGCCAAAGTTCATAGATGAAATTCAACAGGCCATTTTCACATATATGCATTCACAAAAGCAAGTATGAACATGGTAAGGCTATGAATCAAACATCTATGAGAATTTAAACATGTTAAAAAACATATATGAATCATACAATATCGACCTCACAAGAAAAATCAAGTTGCAAGTTGAAAACATTCAAGAACACCATGGTAAAAACCCTAAAAACACATGTTTTTCAAGTGGATCAAAGTCTTTCTAGGATAACAATCCTTGAATTATTTCTTCACTCAATGAAAATAGACATGTTAAGGAGTAGTTTTCAAAAAGAATGGCATCAATAGCAACAAAAATGAGCAAGTTATGATCATTGAAAGTTGGTGCACCAAGAGGACAAAACTAGGTCGTGACAAGGTAAGGCAACTTAAGTCATTTGCATGAAGGATTGGAACTCAGTCAAATCTTAACCAAATTAAGTGGGGAAAAAAGTGAAAATTGTGTATTTTTAAACAAGTAATTCAATGGTACCATTTGTTTTTCCATACCATGAACCCACAAGAAAACCCAATAGCATCAAGGTTTGAGCAAGTTTGGTGACAACCAAAAGCAAGAACATGTGGAAAACATTGTGTAATGATGTGCTTGGTGAAACAAGTGTACAAAAATCACATATACATCATGTATAGAGGTTAGCATAAAATAAATCAAGAAATGCACACATAGTTTGACAGATTGGATGCATCATGCCAAAAGTGACTAGGTTGGGCCTGGTTTGTGACCTGAGTTTGACAGTTCAAAAACTACATGTTTTGCTGCAAGCAATGGTTCATACATGACACATAACATACATAAGACATGTTCAAACAATGTACAACACAAAATCATAACTAGAAGTCATGGTAGCATGTGAAATGCAAGTGAAAAGTTCACATTTTTGAGTTTTAGGATTACCTATTGAAGCAAGCTTGAGCAATAAGAAAACTAGAGACTTTGAGTGCTCCTACAAGGTCTAAAAATTCTCCAAGGATGATGAGAATATGCTCCAAATGAACTCCAAGCAAGTTGGTGGGCAGAATGCCTTGTAAGTGAAGAAAACACCAAAAATCCAAGGATTTTCAAAGCTAACTTGCTCAATCCTTGTTATAGAAGTGTGAATTGATTATGGACAGCTTGTATATGTCAAATATGAAGCGTTAGAGGTCTTAGAGAGTGTGTAAGTGCAAGGGATCCATGGTTGTCCTTCAAAATACAGAAAAGTCAATAAATGAGCTTTTGAGGGTTGGCTTTTTTATTGGATGAGTTTCTGGCCAAGGTGAGGGTTTGGACAACTCTAACACATCATTTGTGAAGTGTTTGAAACTTTCTTTGAGTTTGAGGATGTTTTAAAATGATTTTAGAAGTGAAAATGCAAAACAGAATTTTAAGTGGTTTGAAACATGGTTCAAACTTTGCAAGAACTTGAGATTGAGTGGGAGGAAGATTTTCAGCTGGTTCTTAGCATGTAACTGGTGTCTCTTGGATGTAAGAATGAGTTTCAATTTATAGGCAAGTGTCTTGGGCAAGAGGTATGGGCAGAATGTTGCAAACTGCCAAGTTTAGCCCTGTAAGATTGAAAATCTTGGAGTTTTTCAATGCAATCTTCATTTCTGACCTTGAGCCACCCTAACAAGAGCTTCTCCATATCCTATAGGTCATTTTAATCATGATTTAGGGGATAGGAGGTGACTAGTTGCAACCAAGTTGGTGGTTTGATGATGGTAGCCGCCATTTTTCTCTTTCTTCACTATTCAGTTTTGCAACTTGCATTAAACAATGAATTTCTTCATTTCTTGTGCCAAGCTCATGGGATATGATGCTAAACATGTCTATTAAAAATTTAAACATTAGAAATGAAGTTGAATCCTTGATTAGAGATGATTTGGGAAGTTTTAGAATCAAGACATCCATGCTGAGCTGGTTTTACAATAATGAGTTTTTGCCAACTTGTGAGCTTTGGTTCTTCCTAACCATGAAGAGTTATGGGACCCGCTTGTACTTTTTAGAAAACTCTCATTAGGTAATACAACATTTATGTTTGAGGTAGGAACCCGTTCCACTTGAAACTACGTCAAAAACCCTTGTGAAAATGCTGACAACTTGACTTACAAGTCAAGAAATCTTGAAACTTCTAAGTGTATTTTCCCTCTCTTGCCATGTTTTTGCTCATAACTCAAAATCCATGCATTTTCTGCTCATGAGTTCCTATATCACTTTTTAATAACTCATTGAGACCTTTACAACAAGCTTTGAACCACTCCATATGGATATGTGGTTAGGAAGTTATGGCTTGACCCTTTTTAAAACACAAATTTCTCGACTTTTCGATTACTTCTCAATTCTTGATCAATTGGTCACAAAAATTTATTATTAGATATTAAATGATGTTGGGAACATATTTGGCTTCAATTTTGGGTTAAAACCCTGTTGGTCAATGGGTTGACTATTTAGTCAGACGAACCAAACAATCGAAAACCTCTGAATTGACTGTTGGTGTCCTAGGTTCTCTAAGGCCTTGAAACTTCTTGGGTAGAATTCCTTGGGTCATATGAGCCTCATGGACCATGATTCAATATTTTTAACACCCTTTAGATCAAAATTCAAACTACAGTTGACTTTCCCAATCAAAAACCCTAATTAGGATTCTTGTACTGCACTGTTCTTCTTTCTTGGATGACAACCTCAAATTGGATTCATTCTTGATCTAATGTGATATCCTTGATCACATGAAGACTTGATATACAGAGGACCAATCCAAAACTTTGACTGATCAATCCCTTGAAACCCTGATTTCTGACTGTATGAAACCCTAATTCATCTGCATCTTGACAAAGATCAAACTTGAAATAGGTTACGGTTAGACAATCAATGTTGATGCTCCTAGAATGATGATGTGATCTAGGGGTCAAAATTTGGGGTATAACAACGTGGCTCGAGGAGACAAACCATTTGTCTTTTTGAGTTCCACCAGTTTTTCAGACTCAAAGACGTCGAACATCTCTTATAAAAAACAAGCGAAAAACTTTCGCATTCTTTCAAGAGCCTGACCTCGACGAAAAAATTTCACATTCCTCCATGAGCATGACCTCAGTGAAAAGCTTGAAGCAAATGCATGGGCAACATGGTAACTCGCGAGCAGAGTCAAACGGTCAACGTGAGCACAAATAGGCTCCCAAATGCAGTCCATGCAGAACACGTCTTGTTCATAAGCAAAATCCAACGAGTTATGAGCAAAACATCACCCTCGTGGGTGCAAACTCATGGACAAGAGGCGCCCATGAAGAGCACCGTCTATGGCAACACGAGCTCGCAATCGTGATCCCGAATGAATGCCATTGTCGAACAGAGTCCCTTGTTCCTCCTCGACACATGAACTGACTCTAAGTCATTGATCGTATTTCTAGGAGCAACGACTTAGGGGGATCATATTTTGGACTGGGCCTGTGGATGACCCGTCGTCGAGCAAAGCCCAATCCAGTTCTACGTTGAGGATGGTCCAATAGTTAGGGTCAGTAGATAACACATTTCACACGCACTCTTAACCTGAGGATACGTCAATAACTTGACCTGCACGCCTCACAGAATAATTTTGCCTTTCGTAACGAGAAAGTCCATCCACTATACGGGGAGTGCAAAGCGGTTGACCCAAGACGATGAACACGAGCTGCTTGACCCTTCTTTCATGTAGGAATCTTGAAAGTCATCCGTTGTGGGCTTGAACACTCAGCCCATAACAAAGATTCTTTGTCAAACGTTAGGGGCTCACTATAAAAATCCTCCTCTGCGGGAGGGTCAAATATTATATTCTTTACCCTTTCTTACTTACCTCTTCACCTGAACTGACTTAACTATCGGAGTGCCTGTAGGTACACCCCCCTTCATTGACCGTTCAAGACCGCATACGTGTTGCTGGTCATTCATTTATTCTGATCAGTTGTTCGGATCATTACCCATTATTATATAAACATTACAATCATAATTGTTACATCCTAATAATTTTTTAATGTGGAGTCTCAAATTTTTACTTGAATTACCATTTTTTTCTTCTTATACTTATTTGACTAAGTATTTCTAGCAAATATATATAAAAAGTATCTATAATATTTCAATCTAAGATCCACATTTTATAAAATTTTTGACGAATTATGTTGAAGATAACTGAGATGTAGAATAGATCTTAAATCAAAACTAGTGAGATGATCATGTGTTCGACACATGGTTGACATGAATATGTCACAATAATTTCTTGAAAGGATGTCATACAACACAATTCCATATGGGGCGGGTTCATACTGTCTGAATTCGACGAAAAGACATGAAGACATTTGTGTGTTTTAGTATATCTAAAAGTTTATATATATATATATATATATATATATATATATATATATATATATATATATATATATATATATATATATATATATATATATATATATATATATATATATATATATATATATATATATATATATATATATATATATATATATATATATATATATATATATATATATATATATATATATATATATATATACTTATTTTTAGGAGTGTACTTGAGTCGGTTTGAGTTTGCTTTGGCCAAGACTAGGATTCATACCATATACGGTTACATCGATTTTGATGAGGTATAATAATCACCAACAATATTATTTAACCAGTTTGAGTAATAGTACATATGTGGGTTGGGTTGAGTTTGATAAAGATTTA